TTCTTCTGTATCTGTTCTATTCTGTATGTTCTTATTCCCTTTCAGAAAACTTTCTGGCAGTGCCCTTGATGAGCTTTCAGGTCAGTCACCCCCTGCTAAGGCTTAGTAGGCTGTGGGCACTTTTCATCTGTTCCCTGCCCCGAGGAACAGAAGTGCAGGAATAAAATTCCTGCTTGAATATGGTTTTGAGTTGGTGGAGTATTCACAGAACAAGTGATTGGATTCTAATTGCTTTTATATGCCCAGCCGCCTGGACTCATTACCCATTTTAGTACTGAAAATCCTCAATTCCTTCTTAGGGGGTTTGTGTTACTGAGATTTGATGAGGGAACTGAGACAGCTGCTGATGCTTCAGGGCTGTCAGGGGAAAACCGAGTGGAGTTCCCCTTTGGGCACCGTGGAAAGCAGAGCATTGTGTTCAGTTTTTTTGTGACGCTGGGGTTTTTCCATGTTTTTTTGTAGGACTTGTGCCATAGCGGGTCTTGCCTGGCTCATCCTCACTGTCTAAGCAAGAGGAGGGTGGTGTAAGTGAAGCTTACTTTGATCAGTTGGACTTTCAGAAATAGTGGATGCTAGCTGACTTACACAAGACTGCTGCTTTGAAAAACTTGGACTTAATTTTATTTGCTTTTCTGGGCTTTATAATGAAGCTTGTTAGCAAAACTGTGGTTCTGCAGAACTGATATTGCCGTCTTACAGATGCAGCATACTGTATGCAGAACTGAAAATTTGTTATTCTGCGTGCTTTGAATTAAAACGGAACAGAAGAGTATATATCGAAACAGAGATGAGCTGTTTTGGGGCAACAGTAAAATAGATCCATTTGTTTAGTGATCTGTGAATGGAGTTCAAAGTCAGGTAGCAACAGAGGATTAGAAAACTTAATTTATGAAGGTTGACATTTCAGCCTACAAGAGAGAACTGATGGTTCAAAGTATACTCTTAAGTCTTTGGTTTTCCAAGCGGCTGTTGTACAAAGGTGGATCAGCAGCTTCGCACGGCCGCTGAGAGTGCTGTGGGGGGGGACTCGGTTTGCAGCAGAGGGGCCTTAGGTTGGCATTTCGGAAAAAGCTTTGGGACTGTCACTGGGCAATAGAGTAGTTAACCAGGGAGGTACTATCATCTTTTCTTGTAGGATTTTAAGAGCAAATTAAGCAAACTTGTCCTAGTGTAAAGCAGAAGTGGGACTACATGATCTTCCGATGTACATTTCCGCCTCTCAGTATGGTGGTTTAAGCACTTGAAAATGTATATGGGAGAGACATCCCTATATTTGTGGGGTTTCCTTTGTGTAGTGTTTATCAGCTTACAGAGAACAATTTGGTTTCTTTTTCTGCTTAGGAAAGACTTACATGATCAAGAATGGTTAAAAACTTGAAAGTGGAGAAATTAAACGTGTCTGTCTTGTCTTCCTTTGCCAAGTCCGCTGGTTTGTTCCAGGCTAAATGAAGTATTTGAGTTCCCCTGAGTTAAGAGCAAACTGGGCTTCATATATTGACAGGTTCTTGAGAAAAGTTTCCTTTGCTGTCCATGGGTACATAAATTTTAATATGTGTTATGCCTTCAGAACTTTAAAAGAAAGTCCTGACCACTGTGTTTTAAAATTTTGAAGCTTTTCAAGTATTTGGATAAACTGAAAATTCCTTTAGCTGTCAAACTATTTTACTGAATTGCATGAAAAGCTTTTGTGTTTGAGTTTCAAGTTCAACTAAGCCACAGGGCTGAATTTATATTTGGTTAGGAAATTGTAAAGAGTAGCTATCCTGTTATATCAGGATGATATGTCATCTAATGGAGATGTTGAAATATAATTTTTTTGAACTATGACCTGTGCTTATTCACCTTTGGACCAACAAAGTTGGGGAAACATGACTTGAAGACAACTGCTGAGTCCAACTGGGCAAGGAGGTAGTTGAGAATATTCTTGAAATGATAAAATGTGTAAGCACGTTGGACCAAGTTTGCTGGTAGGCAATGTATTTTTGCACCAGCATGAGTCATTCTAGTGGTAATTCAGTGTGAGTCGGTACAAGAAAATATATGGACATAAAAGCTTGTTAAAAGATGCTTGACAATGTAAGCAGCCATTTGCACTCAGAAATGCTTGCTGTTACCGGTGAAATCCCGTTTGTGCCCACTGGGAGCCTCTGAGCCACCAGCAAAGGCTCTTTGGGAAAGTCTATTGAAGGAACAGGCAGTGTGTCTTTTCTCTTGAGACGCTAATATTTTGGCACTGATGCAGAGCAAGTTTGGTACCTGGGCTGTCCTCTCTTATCCTGGCTGAGCTGTGGTAGATGCAGCTGCTTTAAATAAAAGTTGTTTTTATGTGTAAGTTTAGACCTACTTTAGTATTTCCTTTGGCCTCGAGGAAGTATTGAAATAACTTTTATATATATTTTATTAAAAATTATAGCTGATTATAGTGCTAATCACCTTTACAGTAGCTTGTTACAAGCTTATAAAATAAAAAAGGCGTTTTGCTTTATGGCTAGTGAAGAGATTGGTGCTAAAGGTTCTCGTTCTGTAAGCTCGTGAGTATTGTCTTCCAAAAAAGGTGTTCTAAAAAAAAAAAAATCAATTTGGTAAAAATTGAGGTCCAGCCATATTGTTAGGGCTATAGAGCATCTGTCAGCGGTTGCACTGATGTGGGGGTTGAGGCTCTCTTCATCTAAATTCTCCAGGAGACAGCTGGTCAAAACTTTGTGAAGGTAAAGCCATTGCAATGGTGCTGTTTGTGTTTTCCCCTTAAAAGATTAGTACTTAACACAGTGGAAGGTAGCTCTGCACAAGGAATTTTCTGAGGAGCAGTTCTTGGCTTTTAAAGGGCAGAACCTTTTTGCCTGGAGGAGGATTTTGGGCTTGTGCTTGCTGGAGCAGTACTGCGTGTCCCGCTTGGGCTGAGCCTCTCTGTAGGATTCATGGCTTTGGCAACACAGATCGTGTTCTCAGCCCAAAGGAAAAGTTTGCACAGCTGGCAGGTGTTTAAAGCGTGAGCCAAACTGTGTTACCTTGGCTGGCTGTTCAAAAAAAGAGAGACTTGTGCGCCTGAGCGAGCCAGCTTTTCCTTCCGAGCAGTGGCATTTCTAGCTGCCAAGTCATAGCATCGCAGAATTAGCTCAGCTTTGTGCTTGACTAGACTTGCAGGTCAGTGTCGCAGAGGCTCCCAAGGCGCAGCACGCAGAGAAGATTGCCTTCCTTTCTCGGCTCTTCTTAGCTGTGTTGGGGAAAAGATCTGCTCTTTCCCATCCTGCTTGCTGCAGCCGAGGTGGAGGGCTTCACTGAGACACCTTTTGGTACCTACATGTGGATGAGGCAGAAACGTTTCCTGGGCTTTTAGCTTTCTCATGGCACAGTATCTAGAATTTTCCTTCCTTGTCTGTTAGTAATAGTAGGTTATCTCTCCTTGTAGTGTTCCCTGTTGTTAGGAGTTGAAAAAATGTGTTAACTCCTTCTTGAAAGAAATCAGCTAAAAGGAGTTATCTTAAGTAGATTAAATTTGTGAAGCACGTGAGGAATGTAGAGATTTACCTCTGGCACCAGTTAAGATATTCTTAATTAAAGCCCTGGGAGCATCCCCTGGCTTCTTTGGTGGCGAGTTGCTATAGATAATTCTGGTGTTTAACAAACAGAAATTTTGTGAAGGGATTTAGGAATATACAGCTGCCTAGTGAAGCACTGGCACTATTACGATATCTTTTTAATCCTGATGTAGATCTCAAAACCTTCCCTATAATTTGTGGCCAGTAGGTAGAACCCAGAACAACCTGAAAAACTATTTTCACAGTCACCACAACTTCACGTTGACAAGAAAGAGCATATACTTTGTTTCTGAAGCCTCTTCAGGGATTAGGTGGTGCCTCCTCCTGGCTCTCTGTTCTTTCCCAAGCTGCTGCCTGACTTTCATGTTAGTCACAGTGTGACTTTCATCTAGTTTTTTGCTGAGGGAGTCAGGTGGAAGTGGGTATTTCATGCGCTAGGAGGATTCCACGTCTGGTATGGAAATCTTGCACTCTTTGCAAATAAATGTAAACATTTGAGTGTAGCAAAAGGAAGGGGACATGTTCTACCAAAACCCAGCCAAACCAGGCAGCCTCGTGTCCCTTCTGCCTCTGCCTGCCTTGTGTTCATTCTGTGTTGGTCAGACAGACCAGCAGTGCTGCCCCTTGAAGAGTTATGTGTCACTGACACAGTGCGTAACCACGGCATCCCAATTGCCTGCTCCATCCAGCCATTGATGACCATTCCTAAATATATATTTAGTGAGGACTGTGTCCTGGTGTTCCCCTATTTGAGAAACTCTTTGCCAGCTTGTACCAGCAGTGGGGATTTGCAGAGGATGTTCAGTGAAGGAGTGGTAGTTGGTCATCTGTAGTTGCCGTTCTTCATGCTCTGTATGTTGGTTTTTTTTTCTTCTCAAAAACCTGATCAAATCATGACTTCAGGGAGGCAGTTCACAGAAGAGAGGCAATTGGGGAAGCCATAGGCTTTTTGTCACCTCTCCTTAAGGAAAGCTGGTACAGCACGGAGGGGCAGGAGGGCTGTAGCAGCGTGCTGACAGGCACCGACGGGAGTTTGCTTCGCTCTGTGTTGGCTGCTGCATTTCACGTGTGGCAACTTAGAGTTACTATCAAATGCCCAGTTACAGGCATTCAGGTGTCACTAATACTTGCAGGACACTGCTGCTAGGTAAAGCTTAAAATATAGTGTAAGGGTTTTCTAGCTTATATTTTTTTGTGAAAGAGACTTAAGCTAAGCAGGGAAAAGTGGGATGAATTAGAAGAAATCATAATGTTGCCCAAACAACAGTAGCTCAAATCCATACTGCATGGGGTAAACTACAGCACTGTAGGTTGCAGGCAGCCTCTACAGAGCTGGCCACACTTTCGCTACTCACTGTCACATGAATGTGCTTTAGCATAATTCAATTATTTTGATCAGTCTGTTTCTAATTTATTATTTTATTGCCTTCTTACAGGCAGGCAGAAGTCCTGAAGGCTGACATGACAGGTAATTGCCTTTATTTTACAGTTGGTCTAGCTGCTAATACTTGATTCCTGTTTCTGTTCTCCTTTTGTGTTCCTTATGCTTATCCTTCCTAAGAATTCTCTGGAAAGTATGTGATGTTATGTTAAAGCTTTGTCCTCTGTATAGAAATAAATAGCAGTTTAACAACTGCCCCTCTCTCCTTTATCTAGAAATACATGTATCTTTAAAGTTGACTTTGGCACTTTAAAGAGTTTGGAGCTGGAGTTCCTGCCCCTACTCCTCTCCCGTTGTGTTCTCCTTTTGGGGATGAGGAGGAGACCCCTGTCCAGGCTGCCCCAGGAGCTGCTGTACTGGGGATTAGCAAGAATCAGGTGGTTTTGAGAAACCTGGGCAATGGAAATGTTGATGTGAACGCTACCACGTGTTATGAAAGTGCAGCCTGTAGATGCTATAAATTGCTACACGCTGTATGTATTTATGGAAAATGGCAGTGGTTTATATTCATGTATCAGCCACACAGTACAAGCAGCTTGCTTAATGAACCTTTGCTCAGCCTTGCTTACCACCTTGGTGTAGCATCCGTAGCGGGTTTCTGTAGTCCCCATAGGAACATTATGACTGTCTGGATCCATCTGTCCCAGCAGGAGTGCCTACACCATCAGTAGGATGGTTTCCCTGCGGTGAGACCCGTCCCTTCTGCTCCTGCAGCCCCAGCTCAGGTGACTTTACAAGGCATGGGACATGGGCTCTGTAACTCCAGATTAGCAGGGAGCAGCGTTTGCATTCACCCTTGGTGATGGAAAGCAGATGGCTACCAAAGAGTTAGAAAATGGCACGCATGCAGTAGCACTGCCCACAACGTTCTCCTAAATACCAACAGTGTTGGCTCCAGGGACTGTCCTGTTTAATGTCCCTTGATAGATTTCTTTTCTGCTAATTTTTTTAGGCCACTCTGGAAATTTTTCTAAATTCATCGAGTGGCAAGAAGTTCTGCAGCTTAAATGACTTATGGAGAATCATCTCCTTCTGTTTTGCTTTTGTTTTTTGTTTTGGGGGGGGGGGGGGTTTGGTTTGGTTTTTTTAACTTGCTGGCTGCTGACTTTGCTCACGTCTGGTCCTGGAGTTGTAGGAGACTGATCAGTTGATCAGTCAGTCGCCAGTCCATCTGGAGTTCTTTTATGTCACTATTCTGATGAATCTGTGATAAAGGCAGATGCTTGGCATTGGCGATCTTACACTATGCTTTGTTCTTTCATTTGGTAGATGAGTGAAAAATCAGAGTATTACAAAAACTGTTGTCTTTTTTTTTTTTTTTTGTTGTTGCTCAGATTCGAAGCTGGGTCCAGCAGAAGTCTGGACGTCCAGACAAGCTCTACAGGACTTATATCAGAAAATGCTAGTGACCGATTTGGAATATGCTTTAGATAAAAAAGTGGAGCAGGACCTGTAAGTACCTCAATAAATTTATATGCATGTATGTAATCTGGGCTGATGAGCAGGAAACCCTGAGACTTCCAGAAAAGCGATTGCATCCTATGAAATGATTGTCTTATTTCCTTTAAAATGAGAGCTGTACTGTGGGTGAAACATGAGAATGCACTGCAGAGTTGATGAAGAGCGTTTGGTGGGTTAGTATTTTACCTCTGGCAATTTAGTAGCAGCAGTGTCATGAAGGAGTGGGTGTCTTCTGTGTTGTTAGGGAAGGGCTGAAGTTTGGACTTTCTGGAAAGGAGGAGGTTTGCCTGATGAGCCACCTGGAGCTTTGAGCAAGGTCTAACAGGAGGTTGAGTAGCTGCTAAAATCTGTCATTTTAAGCCCTTGGAGATAGGGTTGGGCATAGGGAGGAATTTCAGGAGAGAACTTTACGGGGTACTTATGGCATCTTAAGAGTCAAGGGAAGATCCTGCTGGGTTTTCTGCATGCCCTGAGTCCATTCTGTGTTATTTAAGATGCAGACATGGGTTGTAATAGGTTTAGTTAAGAGAAGTATGTGGTTCTTCCAGCACTGAGGGCAGCAAGATAAGTAGTCTGGCTGAATTGCCCTGGTCCTGCCTCCAGTTACTGAATGGTTTTTAACCCTGATTTCTACACCCCATATCTTGTTTTAGGGAGGGAGCACTATGCTGCCTGAAACAGAACAATTGCTATCAAATATTAGTGCTGTTACAGAGTTAGCTACAGAGTATCAACATCTGTTTCCCTAGTTATGAGAAGTGAAGAAAGGTCGTTCTTCCGTATTTAACATTCTTTCTAATCTGAATGTTGCCTGAATTTGAATATTCTTCATTTCCATGTCTGATGGTGTGTAATTAAACAGTTCTTTAGTGTTGCTTATGCCATCTTATGTAAGACCCTTCTAAAGTAAAAAGGAAAATGCTTCTTTTGTTTTCAGTTGGAATCATGCCTTTAAAAATCAGATCACGACGCTACAGGGTCAGGCGAAAAATAGAGCAAATCCAAATCGGAGCGAAGTTCAGGCGAACCTTTCTCTGTTCTTAGAGGCAGCTAGTGGCTTCTACACACAGGTGAGTTGCAAAAAAGATATTGGCTATGGTATATTTGCATAGCCTGGAATCAAGTGTGCTTCAGCCTTACAACGCTTGCTTGTGGGTCCTTTACAAAGTTTTGGCTGTCAAACCTCCTGTGCTGCTCCAGCATCTGCTTGTGACACATGAGCTCCAATATCATACCAGCACGTAATCTGTTTGAGGAAGGGCAGGAGGATTGGTTTTAGGTGGGTAAAATCTGTTCTTTTCTGTTAGTGTGGGAAACTATTGCTGTACTGGATCGAGAAGTGTACCTCGCTAACACCAGTGCTCTGAGTAGAACGTGTCTACGAAGCTGCTGATGTGCTTTCTTTCGATCAGCCGCAGCCTCGAGTTGATCTGAAGCTTCTGCGAATCCTGTAGTTGTTTTGGTGCTCCATAAAAACGTGGAAACAATTTAAGTTCCATTCTAATAGAACCTTCTTTAAAGCCCAAACCCTGCTGCTTTGGGTAAGATCAAAGGTCCATCTAGCCCCGTATTTTGTCTCTTACAGCAGTCTGCTGTGACTGCTCAGAGCAAGCATTACGCAGCAGGAAAATGTGGAATGATACTTCCTTTCTCTAGTCTCTTGCCTTCTGGCTGTACATTTGTTGCCTTCTTGAGCTAGTTTGTGTCTGAATCATCTAGCTATTAGGAGATCTAGTCCTTCTTGAAGCCATTCACTCTGGTCTCTGCAGTGATCTGTAGTGAAGAATTCTGTATTTTAATTGTAATGTCCAAGAGTAACAGTGACACAAAGAAACCCCAACAAACATGTTTACTGATTATTTAATTGTACTTTTTTTTATGACATTTTTCTAAAAATTCCCATTTACCTTCTTATTACTATGTAAGAGTTTCTGGGCCATTGGCATAATTCCTTTTCATTTTGAAATATGTGAGACTTCCCCTATGCAGCAAAGGATAAGCAAAGATAATCAGTTTTCTTCTTGGCTTCAGTTATCCCAGAACAGAAATATGTGCAGAATTCCAAAATGCAGGTGCACTGAGGATGTGTGTGACGGCTTAATGTTTTGTACTTTGTTCTGTGTCCCTTCCTTGTAACTCCTAATGCCAATGGTGAGCATTGAGTTAATGTTTTCCAGGAACTATGTACGTACTACATACGTATTTGAATACAACTTTTTTCCTGAGTAACACCTAACTTAGTGCCCACCATGGTTGTGCATTTAAGTAGGGTGGCTGTACCCACGAGTGTTCCATAGCATTTACAATGTATAATGTCTTGCTGGTTTTTTGATCAAGACTCCCAGGCTTACAAGCACATCTTCAGTCTTAATTCTATATTTTTGTCAACAATTGTTTAGAATTGCAAACTTCAGTTATAGGAACTTTTCTTCCCCTTAAGCAGAACTGTGTTGTTGAGTGCTCTCAAGCCAAGTATCTTTTGTGAGGTTTTCAGTTCGTTGCAAAAGGGTTGTGGTTCCTACTTGTCTGTTTATTCCCTACTGACACTTTTTTGCCCGTACTCTCTTTCCAATGTTAGATTTTAGCTTGTAGATTATGGAGAATAAGAGTTGGTGTGTGATAATGGCCTTAATAAAGATAACTAGCTTTTCTTTCTGTTCTTCTCCTTGTTTGGTGTAGGCTTCAGCAGCATTGTCACTGCTCACTCCTCAGTTGCAGGTAGTCTTCTGACTAGACTTTCTGTCCTGGCTGGTTTGCACTGTTACAACACACCCAGCAGGTCATTCTTACTGTATCGATTCCTGGTTTGATTCTGAATATCTGCAAGGCAGCCCAGAATCTGTGTGATTATCTTTTTTCCTTTCGGCATTGTTTTTTTGGAAGCATCTTATTTGAAGCAGCCAGTTTGACAGGCTGCAACATGGTTGCCAAGGGTTTTCTACCATCTCCACTCTTTGTCTTGCAAAAGCCTTGTTCTTCCCTGCAGCGTATAAGGGAATTTTGCTCCTTTTGTGTATGACACCACAGACTGGGTCGTCTTTCTCTGTTTGCTGTGAAGTTAATCATCCTATTTTTAGTTTAAAGATTTTGCTCAGGCGAGATACCTGGTCTCCAGCTCTGAGGCCTGTGTAAATGACATCTTTGAAAGAGAGCATGCATTCTCCTAATTCAGCATTTTGGAAGATGTCAAGTTTCTCACTTTTATCCAGCTTTCATCTGTGAGATTCCTCTCGCGTGGGGATTTTTATCAACTGTATAAAAGACAGAGCAAAAGAGGAGGGAGGTGTAACATAAACCTTTTTCTGCAGCAAGCAAAAGCACCACATTGCATGTTTAGCTGTTGACAGAGCGTGCATCTCTGTCAGCCCTGAGCTCTTTATATGCCTTTAGCTGGAAGTGGAACCCTGCTGCAGGTCTGGTTTTTTTGGAGACTGAATATGTTCCCAGCTGGGAGAAAGTCTGTCAATTCTTACTTGCATTTTTAACCCTGTAACACAGTAGAACAAACACTTTTCATCTCTATGTGGTGACTGTTACTTCCCAGAGTATTTACTGGATCCCATTAGGAAAAACTTCAAAAGCACTGATTAGAATGGCAAAGTTCAGGTTTTCCTTGAATCAGCTTTTGAGATATTTGATCAAGCAGCTGACTCTTTGAAAGAGTCTCGTTGTTAGCTTAGCACAAATATTTACTGACAACTCAGCTACTGAACTGTTAACCACTGTTGCCTCGCATTGCCTACAAACTTGGTTTTGTTCCAGCTCCTCTCTAAAGTTTAGGTCAGGGTAGTGCTGTTTCTTATGCTGGAACAAGCTGCTTTGGAGGATGAGTAGCATTCCTTTCTGTTATTTTCAGAGAATGGTGTCACTTCATCGAGGTATGAAAAAGACTGTGTTCTTCTTGAGTGTCCTACTTAAAAAAAAAAAGGAAAAAAAAAAAAAAACGAAACAAACCCAAACAAAACAAAAACACCCCAAAACAACCCCCAGAGATTTGTAGCCATTCTCCACTGATGCATGCTTATTAATTTAAGTATCATGGGAGCTGAATTGCTTACTGCGTTGGGATGCACAGCTCTTTCTTACAGAAGGGAAGTAAAACTTCTCTTCATGGCTCTGGGCAGAATAATGCAGCACGGAGCTCAGTGACTTCCCTATGGAGAATGTAAAGTCTCACTTTCAGTAATCTAGGCTTGCTCACTTCAAATAAGTTTAGCTAATCCATGCCTCCGAGTGATGCTCTGTTTTGTCTATTGTTTCAATGCTTTTCTGATTACTGTCTAGCTGCTACTAAACAAGACCTGTTTTTCTAGTTATTACAGGAATTGTGCACAGTTTTTAATGTAGACTTGCCATGTCGTGTAAAGTCTTCCCAGCTGGGAATCATTAGCAATAAACAGACGCACACCAGCGCCATAGTGAAGCCGCAATCTAGCTCCTGCTCTTACATCTGCCAGCACTGCCTTGTCCACCTTGGAGATATTGGTGAGTTTTTGAAGGAAGAAGAGGTGGGACATTGAGTTCTACCTGTGTTTAGCCCTCACGAAGAGGCATCTGTACATACCGTGGGCAAATGCTGGACCAAGCGTGCTCCAAATTAGTAGCTAGCAGCTGATTGTATGGTGGTTGCTGCAGGGGGAAAGGTCTGGAAAGTAATGCTGTTAGACTTTTCTAATCTGTGTTACACATTTACATGTGGAGACAGTTAATCACTAGCTTTCCAGTGATTTGCTAGAATCTGTCTTCTAGCATACTGATCATGTTATAGCTGCTAGGCATAAGGAAGTGCTGAAACCAGTAACTACTACAAAAGCTTGTTGCAGCAGGCTAGCATACTTCCTTTCAGAACATTGCTTTTAAATCTTAGATACAAAAGCACCAGTTAGAAATCCAGCCTTTCACAAACAAGGTTTCTTTTTTAAATTAAGTTCAACAGGTTTATTTCTTTTTTTGATTGGAATAGAACTATGTGTTGTAGAAAGTTCTCTCTTCACTGGAGTCTGCAATTGCTTTTGTAATAACTTACAAGTAGATTTAGTTGCTGATTGTGCAAAGTATGAAAAATATTTGTAGCTCTGTGGATGTGTTGCTGTTGGCACAGCATCTTTGTACATAAGAACTGATAGGCTGTGACAATAGGATCTGAGGAAAAACAACCACCTCAAAATTTAGTGTTTTGAATCTTAATGCTCCTTGGTGTAATTGTATGTTCTTCTGATGCTTATTTCTAAAATAATAGTAAAATGCTCTTCAGGTAAACTGGTTTGTATTAAAATAAGTGCAGGAGAGTTGAATTTTTTTGTCTCAACTTGGTTTTTTTGTTATTTTCTTAGCTCGCTATAGGAATCAGACCAGCCAGGCAGAGTCTTACTATAGACATGCAGCTCAGCTTGTCCCTTCTAATGGTGAGTCTGGGATACCTTTTAGGTTCATAATTACAATGGAAGATTTGGGGTACTGCTTTTCTTGTGTGGCAGTTAGAAACTTGGGATTTTACATAAACCTCCCTCCCCAAATACCTGAACCAATCATGCAACAAAGCCTGACCTGTTGGTAGATCATTTAAATAATAAGTGTTTGCCTGATCTATGTCACTTTCTTCTTTTTGTGAAGATTTAAAAGCAAATAAGGTAATACATGGCTTCACTCCAAGGCTTCCCTACTGCTACATTGTACTGTGTTACATTCATACCTTATAAAGTACAGTTAATGAAAATTAGCCTACCAGCAGCATTTTTTTCCCTTTTGTTGTTTTTTCACATGCCAGTTTGTAAAGCTTAGTACCTAAACTGAATTTTGTAATTTGTTCATGCAACTTTGTCCCACACCAAAACAAAAAAGCCCAAAAAATTGCACCACAAATTTGGAAGCTTTTTTATTTGGGGGGTACTGATATGAGGCTGGAGTAAAAGGGTCAGCAGATGAGTCTGAACCTTGTTGAAGAACTTAGGAATTTGTGCTCCCTTTTCAAGTGAACATACTTATTCTGAAATCTAGTATGATTTACTCTGTGACGACTTGTCTTTTTCTCCTTTAGGTCAGCCTTATAACCAGTTGGCAATCCTAGCTTCCTCCAAAGGAGACCACTTGACCACAATTTTCTACTACTGCAGAAGCATTGCTGTGAAGTTTCCTTTCCCAGCTGCCTCCACTAACCTACAAAAAGCACTTTCTAAAGCACTGGAAAGGTAAGACTAAGCATAATATACTTCTGCTCGGATAAGATGGAGGAGGCTTCTTCCAAATACAACTCCGTTAATGGACAGCAGTTATTCATCTTCAGTAGTAGAATCAGAAGTTCCTTGACCCTTGTCCAGTTAGAACATCCTTACACATGTATGGAACAAAGAATAGTTTGTGCCTGGGATGCTCCTGAGTGTGAATAATGAATGCAGGAAATAAACGTATTGTGCCAACGTGAAAAAGTAGCTTTGCATGGACACTCCTCCTTTCTTGAACTCCGTAGAAAAGGTTGGCGATGTTGTGGGCAGCTGTGTCTAATTCAAAGACTGAAGTCAGGTATTTCTGTTCTGAATGTAGTCGTGATGAGGTGAAGACTCGATGGAGCGTGTCTGACTTCATCAAGGCGTTTATTAAATTCCATGGCCATGTGTACCTGAGTAAGAGCTTGGAGAAGCTGAGCCCTCTTCGAGAAAAGCTGGAAGAACAGTTCAAGGTTAGTTCTAACAACATATTAATATTGAGGAGACTATTTTTAGCAGCTGAGTTCTGAAATTACAGTCCAGTAATAACTTTTTCACACGCTAAAATACAGGAAGCTCAAGTAGCCAGTTTGCATCACACCTAACGCTGGACAATTCTCTTGACTTCTGCAAATAGTATGACTTTTTTTCCATTTGACATGTGCTGTGTTGTTATTGGAAATGCAGGAGAAATCAGCGACTATAGTTGATTTTCTGCTCTTTAACCTGGATGATTCTTGGATACCTATGAAAAGCACTTGATTCATCTGGGAAGCCTTGGCTCAGTTGCCTGAGGAATTTTGAGAGCTTCATTTTTGGATGACGTTCATCCACTCCCACTGTTATTAAGGCTGCTTTTAATCTTCCTCAGACAACTCAGCGGTTTGTCTTTAAAAAGTGTTTCAGTACAACCTTAATTTGTGTGTAGACCGGAGCTATTCAGAACACGTTTCCTCTGGAAAATCCAGGAGTAAAGATTAATTATATAGCCATCTCATTAAGCTGGACAATATAGCAAAGATTGAAACAAAGATAATTTTGTAAGGTATTTATACAAGGTACATGATTTCAAAGAGGACATCGTATTAACTGTTAGTGGTCTGCTCTGCTTCAGCATCTTCATTTGTGGAAAACGAGCAGGTAGTATGGATATGTTCAACAGCGCAGTTGATGCTTTTCCAGATTAAGAAAAAGGGGTCTTAGCAATATAAAGAATTACAAATGTTATTTACAGTGTCTTTTTGCATTTTTGCACTGAATTGGGCTGCTATGCTAGGTCCAAACTGTCTTTAAAATAAATTGAAAAAACGCAAAACCTGTCGTGAATTGTATTAGCTTTGAATGTGAGCTGCTTGAACGGTGGGAGTTCATCTTGTTTCAAAATTAAATAATTGTATCTCTCTTTTTGTGTGTGATGGTGGCTGTTGAACAAGTACTGCTTTTTCCACAGTGCTTATAATAAATAATTATGAGCATTGCTCAGGCATGTGGAACAGTATTATTTTTCTGAAGTGATCCAGGGTGTTAAAATAGAGCTAATTGAACCCTGCTTTGTTGCTTAGATTACTTTGTTGTTTATGTTATGCAACATAAGGCTTAATTTACTAGAGAGCAACTCTTCTGACTTAAATGGATTGAATGTGGATGTGAAATTGGCTGTATGGTAGGTAATCATTGTGGCTGATTTTTAACTCTGAATGAGGAGAGCAGTCACAGGGTTAGGAGTGTTCAGGCAGGCCCACGGTTCTGCTGCTGACAGCTTGAGTTGTCAGCTGAAGAGTGTTTCACGCCCTTAACTAAGAATCAAGGTTGAACATGGAGCTGAATCCTTTTCTGATGCTTACGCTGGTTAATCCACTTGCCTCCCTGACTGTTGTGTCTGAAGATAAGTTGGTTGTGGTTTAGGATATCTCCTTTTTTCTTTTTTTTTTTTTTCCCCCCCACAATGCTCCAAAAAGCACTGAAGTTTCTTTTCCTGTTCAGAGAAAGGTGTCTTTGACAGCATAGTTACTGAAATGCATTTGTAAATAGCTCACGCTGTTTTAGTTCACCATGGCGTTCCATGACCCATGAAGTCAGATGTGGAATTAGTCTTTAATACATAACCACACAGTAGTTAAATTTTCCTGGAGTGTTTTTTTTAAAATGTCACCTTCTCCGTGCTGTTTCTTTGAAAGACTAAAAAATACAGGGGATGTACACGCCTCTGCAATTCTTGCAGTTGCGTTGCAATGCTGTCATTGCACATCAAAGTTGCACTTCTCTGAAAGAGAACCATATCCAAGGGGGTGTTGATTTGGTGTGGGTATGAGTTGGTGTACAAGCAAAAACCTTGGGCTTAACGGTGGGCATCTGCCCGTGTCCTCCTGGGAAGCCCAGTGCTGTGCTAATAGGGGTGACCTGAAAATAAAATCTAGAATGAATGTTGCCTTAAGGGCAGAAGCATTAGTCAAGCAGTGAAGTAGCAACTCCTAATCCTTTCAAGTGTGTGCTTACTGTACATGTGTCTTTGTTGCAGAGGTTGTTGTTCCAAAAGGCCTTCAATTCTCAGCAGTTAGTCCATATTACTGTTATCAATCTGTTTCAACTCCATCACCTGCGAGACTTCAGCAATGAGACGGAGCAGCACAGCTACAGCCAGGATGAGCAGCTCTGCTGGACGCAGTTACTGGCTCTCTTCAGTGAGTATGAAAACAAATTGATTTTCCTATTGCCCTTTCATTTCTATATGGAAACCATTAGTAATTTGCTGTGAGCATCTAGCTTCATGGTTGTGTGAGATAAGTGATGAGAAGGGGCATTATGGGAGAAAGTTCAGAGAGGAGATGGCTGTGCAGGATCATTTCTGTCTGGTGGTGCTGACTAGTGCTGGATTTATGTGCCCTGGACTTACTCCATTTGAAGTCTTGCAGAACTCTACATCTTTTTGCTGGTTCTGAAGGAACACTAACTTGGGTGCAAAGTTGGATCCAGTTTGGTGATGGGTGGTACCGTGTGCAGGGGGCTGCTCTGTAGTTGGCTGCAGTGCAGCTTGAGTTGCTTTGGATGGAGCTAGTTCTGATTCAACAGGACTGAAGTTGACCAAACTAGGACCTCAACTATTTCTGTGCTCTTGAGAATATCAACTAGGAGAAAAGTGGGAGTGCAGAGCATTGTAGACTCTAGTGATGTAATGCTGATTTGCTTAACCTGATCAGCTTTGCCTTGTTCATAAATATATAGATTTCTGACTAGCTGAATTTCTCCAGGTTCCAGCCTGGAGCTGATTCTGAAAGCACCAGCTCACACTGGTGTTACTGTTTCTCAGCTGTGTGCCTGGCTGGGTCTGAGCGGGGTGCCTGCCTGCAGAGCTAGCTCCAGTGGATTTGTGTGCCTGCTGACCTGGGAAAGTGGATAAAATGCAGCTAGATAGTTGAGTTGATTATTTCTCAGAAACTAATGAATATTTTTGTAATGGGCTTGTCTCACCAGATTTTCTTAACTTACAAAAATGATTTGCCATGACACTTAGAGAGGGAAGAAAAAAACTACCAAGATTCCACTTCATGATAGAAAACTCTTTATTGAAAATGAGATGTTCTAATCTGATGGTGGATTTTTTTTAATGTCAAGTAATGGAGCTGCTTTGTTCTAAAGAACTAGCTCTTAAAAATAGGGTTTTATGGGTGGCATGTGTTTGATTAGGTTATTTGGTTGGCTTTAAAATGTCGTTCCTGCATCATTTTTGTTGGTGGTGGTTGTTTTTTTCTTTTTTTTCCCTGCTCTGTTTCTAGTGTCCTTTCTTGGAGTTCTGTGCAAGTGCCCTTTACAAAACGACTACCAGGAGGACTCTGGGGCTGCGTATCCTCTTCCAGCTGTGAAGGTTTCAATGGACTGGCTGAAACTTAGGCCCAGTGTTTTCCAGGAGGCAGTGGTGGATGAAAGACGGTAGTGAGTGTTAATCTTTCTTCTAATACATTTAATTGCATAACGTAATAATAACTGATGATACAGATATTAGTAATGGGAAAGTGATCGTATAACTCATTACAGACAAGGAATGTACGTACTAAAAAGTTCATAAAACAAAACATGAGACTTGTGGGCTACATCAGCAAATTCAGTTTTAATTTGCTTTAGGTTGACATAACTTTTTTTTTTAAGATCAGAGGGATCTGCTTTATGATGTCTGACTTGAGCATGACTAGTGAGTGTACTCTAGTCTAATCTGTTGTAATGATTTCTCAGATTTGTTGAGATAGGTGGCGAGAGAATGCTTGCCTGAATTTCATACATTAAGCCATCTCTTGGGCAGTGCTGGAATCCAGTTTTCCTGGCATATCATCCAGGAATTAAATTGAATTTAGTCTTTAAATGTCAGCACAAGCATTACTGTTCCGGACTGTTGCTCTGATTTTTCACTTCTGCCTCTAATCTCATAAATTTAAGCTTAAATAGTTCAAAACTTGCCAACTTTTTTATAGCATGTTAACTGACTGTTACTGACACAGTTGGATGATTATTTTTCCTAGAATGGCCACTATAAGGAAAACAGTGTGAAATCAGCTTGCTTAGCTGATCTTGTGTGATGTGCCACAGTGGTTTTGGCTCTCTCGTGGCAGTGCACGCTGTCAGATGTGATTATAACCAAGGCTTGCGTTTCCTGTACGTTGACATATGGGGACCAGGGGTCCCTATAACCTGGCTTTGCTAAATGAGTAATAAACTCACTCAAATGTGTGCAAAACCTCTGGAGCTTTTGGAATTTCAGTTGCAGAGTTCCTGAGGGTGAGATGAAGGAAAATAAGAGCTCACAAATTGTTTTGAGAGAGTAGTAAGTATTACTGAATCCATATTCTGAAGAAAGACTTCATACTAGTATTTTAATAGGGAATATTACCGCTTGATATAAAGTAGTCCTTGTGGCGAGGAGATGCAGGCAGTACTTTATGGAGCATCAGAATGAATCTTCAGGTGTGAATGTAGATTTTGAGTTAGCCAGAGTGGATCCTTCTGCCCATAAAACTGTCAGTCTCTCTTTTAAAAAAACGTAGCTGGTTTTTAAATCTGTGGTGTGATGACATGGTGTTCTCAGGTACTCATCGTACAAAGGAGTTGTGAAGTGGGCAGCAAACAGCTGTGAAATGTACAGGTGAACTTGAAAAGAAAGTTAATTACCACTAAGATTTATCAAAGTGGGCATTTTGTCAGTATCCATTAGTTAGTAGCCATTACATTTGTTGGCTCTAAAAAGTCTGACTGTTTGTCTTCCCCCTTATTTGTAAGGTGAGAGTTTTCTTTTTATTCCTACTGGAAGATCCTAATGAAAGCCATTCTTTGCAGACTATACAACTGTGGGCACATATACGCGCCTTTGTTGGCCTCTGTTTAGTAACCTGATGTCTGGTTTATATTGAAGAGTCTTCCTTACTCTGAATTCATACTTAATTGTGCTCTTGGTTCAAGAAATAGTAGTTATTCCTTTTTAAACTTTCAGTTGTTCCACTCCATGCTTATCATTTTCCTGTGGATAGTTAATCCTACCCCAAACATGTGTCACTGCATCACTCTTCTTTAGAGAGCTCTTATTATGAAATCCCATTATTTCAGATTCAGTTGTACGGGACGATTGCGATTTTCTGTAGGTTGCAACGGACTTGCACTATCCCATTTCTACTCCTATTTCTTGTCAGTGATGGGAAGGAGCTTAGTTTACTGTAGAGAATAAGCATAAACAGAATGTTTCCAGTCGCTGCGGCAGTGCGGGAAAGCGGCTGATCTCAGGCTCTCGGGTGTATGTTGCATTCTCCAGTCCAGCTGTGGGATGATGCCCGAAAGCCTGGCTAAGGGAGGATGGAGATCCATTTTGCTAACACCAAGCACAGTGAGCACCTTAAAATCGTTTGCCTGTTGCCTTCAAGGACTTCATGCCTGTCACTAGAGCAGAAGCAGGATGCTTAGACTTCTGGGTTGGAGCTTTTAAAAAAATAGGAGAAAGCAGGCTGTTGGTGGATGTTCAGTATTAACCAGCTGTGTAGTGATGGTTGTGATTTTTCAATTATTTGTTCCAGGGCCTTTGTAAAAAATTTCCAGTTGTTGCTTCTACTGGTATTGCCAATGCAAGGCAGGGAGACTGCCAGTTAGCATCTCGTTTGATGGTCTTTCCAAGTGCAACCCTTACTTAGGCCTTCTTGGTAGCTTTCAGTGCTGCAGTACAGTGTTAATGTTCACAGAACGGAGTATTCCTGCACAGCGGTGTCTTGATAAATTGTTTTGCTTCCCAATTGATTCATTTACTGTGGCTTTGAGAGCAGTCAGCTTTGGACTGGAAAGCATTAGTTGCAGACAGGTGCTCTGAACATTTGCTCATGCAATAGGTTTGTCTAGTTAAATTCATAGCAGGCTTTCTGACTTGATGGATAATGAACGCTACGCTGCAAGAGCTTGGCTTCCTTGGTAACTTTAGACTGGCTTTTCTTGAAAAAAAATTGTATTTTTTAAAAGTGGTCTCTTCCATGACACTAGAAAGAAACTTTCCCTTTTCTTGGGAGTCAGAGGATTAATGGAAGCTGTGGCTGTGTAGCAGAGTTCAATATTTGCTTGGTAAGGTGAATAGATTCCATGTTTTGTAGTTTTCACTTACAGTTTGTCTGTTTTCTGATTTATAGCATATGGCCCTGGCTGATTTCTCTTCTAAACAGCTTCCAGCCTCATGAAGAAGATCTATCCAATAATAATGGTAAGGATGCCTCTAGACTGTGCTGTAAAGAACTGGGAATGATATATGTGTGCTTTTTCTGACATTGTGGGAAACTGTAGTTGAAGAACAACTAGGGAACAAGTTGTCTTCTAGTATTAGTGCATATGAGTACTTTGCAAATGTTACTTTCTCGTGCTGAGCTGAGCAGGCTTTGCTCTACTTTATCATTCCTGAGATGCTCAGATTGCAGAGTGGACAAGTACAATTGAGCATGTTTATAAAAACCTTTACTGTGTATCGTGAACCTTGCTGAGGTGTCTACTTAGGATACTGTACTTAATGCATTTGTGCTTTCCTTACGCTATTTACTGTCTATTTACCAGCAACCCCCCTCCCAGAAGAATTTGAATTGCAAGGATTCTTGGCTCTGAGGCCCTCATTCAGGTGGGTGACAGCGGAAAGGAACTGTACTGTTGCTGATATCACTACTCTGATAGATGTGGACCTGTTCTCTACAGTATCTTATTTATGAATGCTTACTGCTGTATGGATTGATGTAGGTATCTTTGCAAAAGAGCTATAATAGGAAGCGTAGGACTTGAGTCTCCATTGAGTAAATCTTAAAACTCTGGGGAAAGACATGAGCTTATGATATTGCTCAAGAATTTTTTGTTTTCCTTCTGTAAACTGAAAGGGAAAAAATTAGATAGTGAGGAAAGGAATACTGTTACATGAAAACTGCTTGATGTGGTTTTACTTTTCTGTTTTTTATACTGCTTTTCACTGTGTCCCTCTATGTGTGTCCCATCATGCACAAAAGTTGACAATATTAGATACCTTCGCGGAACTATTATTTTTGTGATTTTTTTTTTGTTTATCACACAGATGAGCTTTTGTCTGTTTGATTTAAAAAAACCCTCTTTAATATAGATGCATCTTGCCAGAAGATAACTGCATCTGTAAATCAGACATCTATAACTGTCATGTTTTGAATAGGATCTGGTGAAATTTCACAGCTTATAATAGAGTAATGCTGACCCAGTTGTATTTCTAAAGAAATATGATGTTGCAGAGGCTGTCTGGTTAATATCATTCCCTCTCCTATGTCGATATTAGGAACTTGGATTTTTCCAAAGGCCACCAGGCAATTACAGGAGATAAGGAAGGGCAACAACGTCGGATACGGCAACAGCGTCTGATCTTCACAGGCAAATGGATAGCTGATAACCAGCCGAGGTGATTGCAAGTAACGTTTGTGTGTTTCACTTGCTGCTGTAAGATTAGGTGATGCAGGTGCCAGAGTTGAGCTTTGTTTTTCTCATTATGTGACACAGCAGTTGGATATAATGTGAATGCAAGGTGCTGATGGCACTGATAACATCTTCTGCAGCTCAGCATGCCATTGCTTCATAGACTAATTGTGATGGGGAACGTATTTGGAGTAACACATCGTGTTTGAGTCCTTTTTATTGATAACAGCAGCACAGCTAAGTGAAAACAGTATTTGAAGTGGTAGCAGGAGTGTTAGCATGTGAGCTTACGTCATGCTAGAGAATGCCCTGAGCTGGGAGATGTGATGTAGCATCTTGTTGTTGGGGTGAGGAGATGTATGGTGAATATGCTGACTTTCTGCTTTTGTGTGCGTTACCCTGTGAAAAACTACTTCTATTTGCTTTTCAATTCCTTTCTGTCTTTTTTTCAGGCTGATTCAGTGTGAAAATGAGGTAGGAAAGCTGTTGTTTTTGACGGAGATCCCGGAATTATTACTAGAGGACCCTAGTGAAGCCAAAGAGAGTGTCGCCTTGCAGGAAACATCTATTGCAGAGCCACTGTCTACGGATGGGAGCCCTGGACTCAAATCAGTTCTGTCCTCTGGCAGAAGCCTAAACAACAACTGTGACACAGGAGAAAAACCAATGGTCACGTTCAAAGAGAACATTAAGCCACGGGAAATGAACAGAGAGCAAGGGCGAATCTATCCCCCTAAAGATGTAGTTTTTTATAGCAAAGGAATAGTAGCCAATAAGAATGATGGGAAGAAGGATAACAATAAAAGAAAGAATGAGACTAAGAAGTGCGGCTTGGATAAGATGCAGGAAGCAGGAAAGCAGAACGTGGCGGTTCAGGTAAGCCTTTAGATCAAAGGGATACTGTGTCTTAGGCAGTGCAGCATTTGTGTCAGGGCTGTCGCTGCTTGTACAGAGTGCAGCAGAGTTGAAGTCTCGCTGTGGGCCCTGCAGGTACAGCTAGTGCACCCAAACAATGGAAACGTGTCTATCTCAAAGACCAGGTAGCAGTGATCTCTTGGTCTCTGCCCTTTTCCTTGATGCAGCATGTCTCAATTTGTTGGGGAAGAAAAGGGAGGGAGCAATGAAAGGTGATTTTGCTTTGTTAACTATCTTATAAAACAGACTTCTACCTGTTGTTCCACAAATTATTCAGGCAGTTCACATGGCTGGGTCTGAGTCATGCTCTTTACCCATGGTATGGTCTGTTGGGAAGGAACTGTGGGTACTCAGCATTTTTGGTTCAGTTGACTTGTGCACATCAAATAAATAGAACACATCACAAAACCATCCAGTTGCTTATGTGGAATAAGATCCTCTGTACTGTACGTGCAGTCAGGTGGCCCTTGGTAGAAGTAAGGAAAGCCACACTGCACTTAAGCCGTAATTCTGTGCTCAGGGGCTTGCTCAGAATTGTTGGTTTTCGTATCAGCTGCTCTTTTGTCAGTCATATTTTTGAGGCATGCTTTTTTCCCCCTATTTCAGTGAGTGTTATGTACAAAAATGCTCACCTTGTAAGTAGATAGTGAATTTATTGGTCTGACTTGCATTGAGTTGTAGTAAATAAGGATGTAGAGTTTCAGGGTTGATCTGGTCTGTACCTGGATAGTTTGACTGCATCTCAGTCATTCTCTGACGGTGTCTGGAGGCATTTAATGGTAGTGATGGAGACTCTATTACTTCCCTAGAGAAACTGTGTCAGTTCTTCACTGTTCTTGCAAGTGGAAATTATTTCATAATGTACTTCATCTCCCTTGCCTCTGTGTAAGCCTATTACTGCTTCCCAGGACAGGTCTGCAGAACAACTTCACTCTTCCTCTTTGCAACTGCCGTGAAGGCCTGCGTAATTGAGGTCTTGTTTTCCCGAGGCTAGACAAACCAGCTCTTTCAGTCTTTCCAGCTTGTGGTGTTAGGACCCTTGGAACATCCTTCTTGTTCTCCTCCTGATTATTTGCTGTTAAACATCATTATGAAATGGAAGGTCTGAACTGGCAGTGTTGTTCAGTTGGTTTTGCAGGGGGTCCTGCCAAGGAGGGTAAAGGGGAGTAGCCTACAGAAACCACCTGGTAATCATTTGTGAGTCACTGAACAGGAGTCTGGTATCTGAAAAACAACTTAGGTGAGTTAGAATAGCAGGCTTTGTATTCATTTGTTGAACACATCTGGAATGTGGTTCCAGGCCTGACCACAGCTCCCAGTTTTAGTGTTTGTTCACCTGTCCTGCAAAATAAGGACTTGAGACCGATAAAAGCCGCAAACCAGATCTTCTGAGAAGTATGTGTAGTTTTTTGGATAGGGAAGATATTTTAATTCTAACCCAGCTGATTTATCAAAAGTTTGTCTTAGTCTTAAGAGATAACAAACCCAGGAAAAAACTTATTTCAAACCCAACTGTAGCAGAATCTGTTCTGATGTGTTTGGTCCCTTTTCATCTCTTCTTGGATAGAAATTAATTTTGACTGTTTAGTTCCATCAGCTGTATTTTTTATGGCAGTTATTACAGTGAAATGCCTTTGGTTTTATATAGTTTGGTGGACTTATTTATCCAGACTTACTCCAGAAGGTGGGGAAGGTTTGCTCCCCCTGCTGCCCCCACCACTGAGGAGAAAGCAGTGTAGGCTTTGCACCAACTCCTGGTCTGTTAGTGCTCTGCTTTGGCCTTCCTTGATATTGCAGGCGTTTATCTTCTCCATAGCTCATTGCCTTCCAAAGCCTAAATGCTGCAAATGTTCCAGGCTCCTACTTAGCAAAAATGTTAAGAATGTTATGTGAAGGTAATTAGCCCTGTTTCACAGATAACTGGAAGACTTCCACACTCAGACAGGATCGTTAAAGTGTGGCATAGGTTGAATATCTGTTCTTTAGGGAAAATAACGCTGGGTGCTGAGGAAGGATGCAGGCAGACTTGCTCAAGTTGTAATACAAACTTAAGAGGCGGCTGTGATGAGATGGTGCTTCTCAAGCACCGTGTAGGAAACCTCAGGACTACTGGGGGAGTAAATATTTGGTAGTGTTGACACTTTTGAGGTGACTTGATTAATCAGTTTTAGTTATTTAGCTTTTAAACGTTAACCCTAAATCATGCAGGGGGTCTTTTGGAAGCCACCTTTGGAAATGTGTTATAGCAGCTTTTCATTTATGATTGACTAGAACTCATGTTTCGAATCCCACAGCAGGAGGAGTGTCTTCGAATTCTCCAGCATTGTTGTAAAAGAATGCATAGCTCTCAGGATGGGTTCTAAAAATGTTTGGCTCATTGTGGAGAAAAAAGGGACAGCGCAATAGAAGTTGAGTATACAGAATGTGATGAAGGGAAAAGGTGGGCAGTGAATAGATGCTGCATGAGCAGGGGCTGCATCATTCATGGTGCTTAGCATCAGCCAGAACCTCGAGGTGAAGATCCCTCCCAACCCTTTCTAGCAGATTAAAAATACACCCAAACCTCCCAGTCTTACAATCTGCTTTTCTAATTAAATGCAAAGAATAAACTACATCCCCATAATTTCTAGATGGGGAAATTCAGAATTATTTGAAAAAAGAATATAAGAAAGCATTTGAATGCATCTACCCCTTTACTACTACTGTATTTTGACAGAAAAGACCTGCTGTCTAACTCGTTTCAACTCAGCAGCACTAAATGTCGAAATAAACCCCAGAAAATTTTGGTTTGTTTGGTTTGGATTTTTTTAATTTGGTCCCTGATAAAACCCGTTCTTTCAACTACCTTTGAGGCTTGGCGTCAGGTCTGCTCCTGGGCCCTTCCTGTATTGCCCGGGTTCCTTGCTTGCTGTCTTTTTCCTGCCTGCTCCATCTTGCATTCCAGGCAGTTCTGCTGAGCTGAACAGAAAGGGAAAGTAGTCTTCCCCTCTGTCTTCCTCTCCAGGAAGACCCAGACCGCAGCAGACTCAGAATCAGGTAAACATTACATTCCATTCTTCTCTCTACCTTTAACTGGTGCAGCTCTTTTAACAGAACATACAGCAGTTACACAGTGAACTGAAAGAGGTTAAGCGTTTCTGCTATTTGTCTTGTGTGCTCTTGGTCAAAAGAATTTCATAGTGGGCAGGAGTTTGTACATATGCATCACCGTATGGATTAGGCTGAAAGAGTTCCCTAGAAAGAACATGGTAGTGTTTGTTTTTTAGGGTGCTGCAGGTAAGTAGCATGAGTTAGGTTGAAGCAGTGCCCTAGGAGAAGTGTACTAGCATCTGCACTTTTGGGGTTAAGGCACTGCAGGTGAGCAGGATGGTAAGTCTTTGCATGGTCTGAGGATATTGTTATGTCTACTTCCCAGTCTCTCGCTAGAGAAGGAGCCTGTTGCAGTCTTCTGGGTAGATACCCTGAGAGTGCTTGTGTGAGGCAAGGAGTGCCTGAGGTCAGGTAGGGTAACCTGCTGGAGGTCAGTGAGGAGGGAACTGGGTTTCTGCATTCCAAACCTCTCCCAATTACTTAGGGAAAAGAAAATAATCTCTTAGACAATCTGGGAGTTCATTTTTTGGCTTAAGATGTGATGTGGGTAATTACAGGAAAAGGTATCCAATGTCTTCTTACGTTCTTTTGCATTAGGTGAAATCCCAGACGGAGATGAGGAAGACTCCGGTGTCTGAAGCCAGGAAAACACCTGTAACTCAGACTCCAAGTCAGGCCAGCAGTTCTCAGTTCATCCCTATTCATCATCCAGGAGCATTTCCTCCCCTTCCTAGCCGGCCAGGTAATTTGCCTCGTTATTTTGAAGTGTGATTTACTGTTGACTGCGGAAAAAAAAAAAACCTGTAATAGAGGTTGTTACAGGCTCTGAAGGTAGGAGCTGTTTTAACGAGCATACCTTCTCACGTTGAGAATCTTACAATGGAGTAAAGAAGGGGCATAGCGGAACTGAAATGAGATAAATAAGATACCTTATGCTTTGGAATCAAGGTTTGTCATGAAATCTGCCACCTTCCTCCTTGGTTAGTAGGTGCGAGATCAAGGAACCTCACAATAGGCTGTTTCTGTAGTTCGTCAAAACATGACAGTCTTGCTAGCTCAGGAGGAAGCATTCTCTGTGCATAGGACTCCAGTATGAAAGATCAGTCACACTGCTTTCGTCTTCAAAGCTCACTTTCTTTTGTAGTTCTGCTCATGTTTCAAGCTGTAATTTGTGTGGTCTTATTTGCTGTTGTGGCTGCGTTGCACGTTCCCATTTTGTTGTGGAGTGTTCCTGTCGTACCTTGCTGTCCGTGTTTGCTTGCAAAATAGCTGGAAGCTGTATTTTTCCTGCAGCTTTTACATGTAGTTGCTTAATGTAAGACAGAGAGACATCTTCCCTGTCCCAAAGTCAGCATAAAATCTGGCCTGTGAGACACAGAATTAAAGCTTGCCTTCCAAACCTGGCTTTTCAATGTGAACTACAGGAAAGAAATTGATCTTGCAGATATGAGGATTTGTTTGCTTACCATCTGTCTCTGTGTAAGCTGATCCTGAGACTGGTGATCCTCTGGGAGGAGGCAGTAGACTTATTGATTGCTTCTGCCTATTGCTCCAGAAGTTTATTCCTGAAAACGCGGGTGTTTGAGGGGGAGGGAACTTTGGGGGTAAGGCATCAAAAACCCCAAAATGGTGAAGGGAAAAGGTAGTTGGGGAGAAAAAGTGGGGAGAATGTGGGGGGAAAACATCACTCTCCCAGATACTGCCCTGGCTGACTGTTACCAGTGCCTGGAATATTGGAAGAAAACTCAAGAACAAACTGAATAACCCTTTGATCACAGCCGTGTACGTGCAGAGGTGAGAAAGGATGTTATGGTGCACGTATACAAGCCATACTGTTTGTCTACGTGTATTCAAACTGTACTGTGCAGTCTCCTGTCCCTGTGGCCTAAATGAGCAAAACAGCAAAAAACCTCAAACAACCAAAACAAAAAAGCCCACACTAAATGTTTTCTTGAGGGAGCTACCTGCCCTGCCAAATTTTGATTAAAGGTGTGTTTTTTTCTTTTGCAGGGTTTCCACCTCCAACCTACGTTGTCCCCCCTCCTGTGGCTTTCTCCATGAGCACGGGGTACACCTTCCCAGGTGGTGTTTCTGTCCCGGGAACCTTCCTCCAGCCCACAGCTCACTCACCTGCAGGAAACCAGGTGCAAGGTGGGAAACAGTCCCACATTCCTTACAGCCAGCAACGGCCCTCCGGACCAGGGCCAATGACCCAGGGACCTCAGCAAACGCCACCTCCTTCCCAGCAACCCCTCTCATCTTTACCAGCTCAGGCAACAGCACAGTCCACAAGCCAGTTACAGGTCCAAGCTTTGGCCCAGCAGCAGCAGCAACAGTCCCCTACGAAAGCTGTGCAAGGCCTGGGGAAGAGCCCACCACACCACTCCGGATTCCAGCAGGTAAACTTGACTAATGCAAGGTGTTAAGCTTTGTTTAAAAATAGATGGCAACATTCCTGGATTACCTTTGTAAAACTGTCGCTGAAGACCTTATTATGGAATTTCAATTTGTGAACTTCTGGGAAAATTTGAAAAAGAGTTGAAGTTTAGTGGGGATGACCATACAATTCTCTAAGAGGAAGGTATCTACTGGAATGGGTTTTATGTGTGTTTCTGTTAATAGACAAGATGTGAAGGTGGTATTTCTGATCAGGCATTTCTGTCTTAGACCTTTGTTAATTTCTTGTTTGAGTAATGAGGACTGAGTCTGAACCTTTTGGTCAACTGGGTTGCAGTGTCAGCTCTCTCTCAGCAGTTAGTTTCGTGCTCACGTTGTGTTGGGGAAGATCTTCTGGCATGTCTGGACTCAGTGGTGAGAGCCTTCTGGTGTTCTGGGCAGCAAAATGCTGGCTTGTACCTTAGTAAGACTGGTTACAAGGTACTGGATTCGAGTAAGGATTCTGCTTGGCTATTGGCATAGTGCTTGTCTAGGGAGTATTGGATGCCCAATCAAGACTGAATTTTGGTGACTAACGCAGTAAATCAGAGTGTTTGTGGAGTATCTGTAACACATGAGCCAGATTGACAATTTGAATGGAGTTAGGCATTCAGTTAATATTAATTGTTCATACCTGCTGGTGAAATCACTCTTCTCTGCCTCAGTATCCGCAGACGGACTCGTCAAAGCAGCTCTGGAACCCACCTCAAGTCCAAGGCTCACTGGGGAAGATCATGCCCGTAAAGCAGTCCTATTACCTGCAGGCCCAGGACCCTCTAAAATTATTTGAACAGTCATTACAGCCTCCTGTGATGCAACAGCAACCTCTGGAGAAAAAAATGAAGCCTTTCCCAATGGAGCCATATAACCAGAACCCCTCAGAAGTCAAGGTGCCAGAATATTACTGGGACTCTTCCTATGGCATGGCTGACAATAGGGTGATGGCACAGCAGTCTAACATGGACCGCAGGGGAAAACGGCAAGGAGTCTTCCGCCCAGAGCAGGATGCTGTCTCCAGGATGACCTTTGAGGTAAAGCTCTATGCTATAAGTGGTGAAAACCAATGAGGTTCTGATATTCCTAACAACTCTAGGAATTTCCATGTGTAAGGAATGCCCTGTAGCCCCAAGTAGGTCAATGTGAGCTTATTTATTAGGGAGCTGGGTATCAGTAAATGGGATTCCAGCAAACAATGATGAATTCTCCATTTTAGTCGGCTGCATGTGGGATCCAGCTCTGGAAGATTTGGTTTCAAGTAGGTGTAAGTCTTGTTCAGTGTAGGTATGACATTGATCTCTGTGCTGTGTCTGTCAGGTTGAGAAACATGGCAGCTGATAGTTTGGGGGAAAATTCTTGTCTGGCAGCTGTTGAAAACCATAAAAGCCATCCAAATAATTGCAGTTGAATTATTACCCTTTAGGTGAGCTCTTAACACCCATATAGTATCTTGAGTGTGTTGAATGGCTGAGACTGCAATAGTCGGATTGAGGCTGGAAATTGAGGATGGTAATCGAGGATGGTAGGAGCAGTCTTGTCTTGGGGTTTTTTTTTTTTTGTTTTTCCTGTAAGTCCCACCACACAGCGAGAGCTGAACGACTTCCTTAGCAGTAATAGAATACTTTGCTTCTGCTCATGCTGTTGTGCTTCATGTTCCTGTTTATAAGAGTTGCATTCTGTGTTATTTATTAAACGGTGCTGGAGTTGTCTGCCAATGCTTTTGGTGATGTTTATAAGGAAATTTAAACAGAGGCCTCTTTAAACTTTTGGTCAGATACGCCTCTGTAAATACACTCAGGATTTTCAGGTCAGCTGAGATTACTTACCCTTCAGAGAGAAAGGCCAGACAATATACAGGAGTCTGCCTCTACCCTGATGTCAGGTTGTGGTTTTTAGATGGAGATGGGGTCAAAGCCTTCTTCTCATCCTTGGAAGGGAATCCTTGCCTTATTGCAAGTGCGGTGCAGTACGGACAGCAGCTGTGCCCGTGGTGCTTGTGTTTTAAGCATCCCTCACCAAAGTCAAGATGTCAAATTTGACCAGCCCAGTGATCTGCTCAGCTGTACATTGGCGTAGCACCCATTAGCACTGGAAATAAGTCTCGTGGGTTTTAAACTTCACAAATAGAGGAAGGTACAAGATGCAAATGTAATTTTACTTGAAACTTAAATTACCCACAGATCAGCTATAGAAGAATAAGATTTTGTGTTCCTTGTCCTTGAATGTGAAAACAGGTTCAGCATTTGGCATGGATGCAATGGGAAGCACACACTCCACTAATTAAAATGAGCTGCCCATCATTTTGATGGTGCAGTGCTCCTCCCAGTATGCGTTAGGCCACCTGGCTAGTGATGTTTTCTGCTCAGCGTTTTCTCTCTGCATACCCCGACATACTTCTGCTGCACCGCTTCCTCACCTCACGCTTCTGCATGCCGCCTTCTGCCTTTCTCTTGCTATTTTCTCTCATCCTGTTGTGGCTTAGCCTCTCCTTGCCATCTCTTGCTGTTCCCCTTTCTGCCTTCTGTTGTCTCACTGTGCTCATTTCTGTCACTAGGACCCCAAGAGCTCCCCTCTGCTTCCTCCGGACCTGTTAAAGAGTCTGGCTGCCTTGGAGGAGGAGGAAGAGCTGATTTTCTCTAATCCTCCTGATCTTTACCCAGCTCTGCTGGGGCCTCTCGCCTCTCTTCCTGGACGAAGCCTCTTTGTATGTATTGGATGTAATACTGCCGCTTCTCTCTCTTAACTCGCATCTCTCTCTTCTGTGAAATTATAAGAAATGTGAAATTCCTTTCTCTCCCCCATCCCTCCTGTCCACTTCCCTGCCTCACACTTGAGCTAGTCTTCATGCGAGAGCTCAGACCAGCTGAAGGCCCACGGTATAGCTCTTGGGTCAAATCCAGGAGGGTTAATTTGTTCAGAAATCAGAACAGTGGGGTTTTTTGTAAGTACAGTCTACAGGAGAGACATTGATGCGTCATTTAATGCACTCGCTCTTCTGCAGTTGTATGGGCTTAGTAATAAGGGCAAGGGAGAACGCAGATTCAGCTGGGGGAAGGCATCAGAACAAGCGTGGCTTATTATAATCTACTAAAAATGCCATGAAGGCAGGGGGAAGCTGCCCTACTAAATGCAGAAGAGACCATAAAAGAGCAAGATGACTTCGGAAGAAAATTGGAAGGAACTAGCTAAATAATCGGTAAATCCTACAGAAATACAGTCAGGTTTTGACAGAGTGAGAATTTTTTTTTTTTCTACATTTATGTATTAAAACCTTCCTAGTTCAGTAGCTGGAGGGTCTTAGAGCTGCTGAATTTGTAAATTGCCTCTGAAAATGCAGTACCTCTTTCTAGTATGGCTACAAGCATGTTCATTAAATACTATTATTTCAGGTTAGTAGCAGTAACAAAGAGGAGTTATTTGTGATTCTGCTCAAAATCTCTAATTATTCCTAAATTATTTTACATGCCATCCCAAGGAATCAGTAGCAAAATGGGCACCCATTTCTGTCTCATTAGATACCTTTGCTATGAAAGTAGTAGCTGCTCCTTCATCAGCTTCCTTTGAAGCTCCTACTATTGCTGTCTGCTGACAAATGGAAGGAAATTCTCTGTGCAAGCTGTATGGATATGCAGAATGTGAATTTTGTCTGCCTTTTAAAATGTGCTTTCAAAGTAATGAGTTGTCACTTTGAAAATCTCACAAGCTAGGAGCTGCTTGCCAAGAAAATGAGGCTATTTGTCTTGGGTTTACAGGATAAAAGCAAAGATATTCCAGATATTGAGACCATGTTAGAGAGAGAGGGATGCTAGTTCAGGTTTGTGTTGTTTGAAAAATAAATTTAAGAACATCTGACGTGCTGAGCTAGTACGAGTGCGAGAGGGCTTTTATTTGGAACAAGACTACAGCTTTAATTTTGGATCACACACAGTTTTACCTATGGCTTCACTAATTCTATGGCTTGGTGATCCTGATCACCAAGTTGGTTGTCCTCCAGACAAGCTTTTTAATTTTTGATTTCTGTGTTGATGATAACTGATGCTATTCTCTAAATAGGCTTGTTTCAGAGACACTTATTTTTCCCTGCTTAATCATAGTAAGAACCTAAGAGAAAGCTGAGAAATATTATGCTGGAAATAACAGCTGTATGAGAGAGGGCAGCATAGATGATGGAAAGGTCATGGTCCATAATATCTTAGCATGGAACCCCAAGGGAGTTTTGGAACCTGTTTTAAACACTGGGTTGTTTTTTTCTTCCTCTCTCAGTAATTTACAATGAAAATGAGAGAGTGCGAAATGAAACCTGGACTGTTTAACGGAATTTAAAAACCACAGCACTTGGCTGCTCTAAGAATGTCTATACAGCGGGGATGCTCTCAAAACTGAAAAATATTCTGTCAGTAGCAACACACAAGAGTCTAATCATGTTTGAAGGAGTCCTCTGATCACTGGGAAGGATCCTGTCTCATTTGTACCAGGTTTTACACAACCATAGGGGGCTTTTGGCAGGAATCTCCCCTCTAGATGTATTGGAGAGAGTACTGCACTTAGAATTTTACAAGCTGTTCTGGCAGTGGGGTTTGCCTGAGTCTCAGCTGTTGTGATTGTTGATTTTTAGATATTAATTACAGGTAGTAGGGAAACTACTGATGTTCTGCATTTGTTAGTTTGCTCCCCCTGTCCTCCAAGGTGCTGGAGCTAAAATACGAGGAGTTTTAAATGTGACCAAGACTACTTTGGTTTCTGATAGCATACTTTCCTCCTGCTCACCTCACTGAACACTAACTGTTCTTTTTCCCTTCTTGGTTTTTGAAGAAGTCCCTGCTGGAAAAACCATCAGAACTGATGTCTCAGTCGTCATCTTTCCTGTCCCTCAGTGGCTTTTCTCTTAATCAGGTGAGGACCAGAGTCTGCAGCCCTTTGCTGCTTGAGCTTGCCACTAAACTAGGTCCCATGGCAGAAATATGGGGATATCATTGAGTTCAAACCAATGGAAAACCTAAAAGAAATCCATACTGGTGCCTAATTTCAGTCTGTATCAGTAAGATTGCCTTTGCCTTTATCAGTTGTCATCCCAAATTAATCTTGGCTATAGTCTGCAGACATGCTGTCGAGTCTTGCTGAGTTCATGGGCCCCTTGCTCTTAGCAAAATTGTGGAGCTGACGGAAAAGGTGCTTCTCAAAGTCAGATGGTGTGTAGGTTTTTACTTCCTGAGCAATGGATTACCCATTCTCTTCCCTAGAACTGAGCAGGGTCTTGATACAATTTTTGTGAGTACTGGGAGTTTAAAGATTTTGTGAAGGCTTTGCAGTCCTGATTCAGAATGTGATGGACTTCATGTTAAATAAAATGGTCAAAGAAGAGGAGGCTGGGGAGTGAAAAAGCAGTTAGGAAAATATTTTGATCTATAATTGTTTCCTTTGTACAGTTTCAGTGTTTGAAATAAGTCCAATACCTAAACTCTTACATTCTTCTTTTTTTCTTTTTTTTTTTTCCTTTCAGGAAAGATATCCAAATAACAGCATGTTCAATGAGGTATATGGGAAAAACATGAATACCAGCACAAAGACAGAAGTCACCCCTTCGGTTGCCCATCAGGAGACTTCACTATATTCTCTCTTTGAAGGGACTCCGTGGTCTCCATCCCTTCCAGCCAGCTCAGGTAATCCTGGTATGGTTTTTCTTGTGTCTAGTGATTTAGAGGATTTGAGTTAATTCTGAACCTACTGTAAGTTAAATGTAACTGGCAATTAAAAAAAAAAAAAAAACCAAACCTGCTTGACCAGGTGTCTGAAGGTTTCTGTTTGTTTTTCTTCATATATCCTCTGAAATATGAGGGGATTCTGTTAATTAGTGTAACATAAGAACCTGGATTTTAGTTGAAGTAGTTGAGCAGGATAAAAGTTGTAGGAAGTGTTGAATCCTGAAATCTCTTTAGCTTAGATTCCTGATAAGCATCTGGGAGTAGGGATTTTAACTCAAACGTCCGTATACTTTGTGTTGCTTCTTTGGAAAAAGCAGGAAGAACTGGATTTCATAATGCAGATATTTGAAAGAGAGAGAAACTATGTGTTTGAAGAGTGTGAAGGAAAATATGGCAGTGGGTTTTGGCTTTTTTTTTTTTTAACTTCTTTTTTTGGTTAAGCAGCCTACAAAGCAAACCGGCTTTTCCCTTATGTTTCATGCCTATAAGATAATTACTAACTATTATGTCATTTTATTCTCACTAAAAATCCAGAAGAGCGTGAGGGGAGGAATTAGTTGAATCTAAGAAATGAGTGGATTTCAAATAACATCTGCACTGGATGAGATTTTTGGTTGCACTGAGACTATCCAGGATTAGCTGTTGTGAGTGAAATGGAAGGAGTTACAAAGTACTTTTATCCTAGCAGGATTTATGGCTCACATGGTTTCAGTCTTCTCTCCCTTCACCGCTTCATCCAAGACCACATAGCCTCCTGTCACCCTGCTATGCTCTGTTGTCTTCAGGCGTCGTTCTCTCCTGCCTGCAGACAGGCTTTTCCGTGCTTGCTCTCCTTTTTTGCTCAGTATTGGGTTCTGGTCTGAGTTGCTTTAAGACTTCTAGAAGTGTAAAACATTTACAGATTTGGGAGTTTGAGGTGTAAGCTTGCAAACTCCTCAAGGTCTAATGTAATTTTTTTTATTGGTTTGTCAAGCCTGGAGACAGGCTTTTTTAGTTTGAGAAAAGTTTTTCAAGAAACATGGGGAAAACCCGCTTTGGCTAGCCAGCCCTCTTGAGGTTTCCTGGCTTTTGTTTTTTCTGGTAAGCACGTGTACGGATTAAACACAGTCATTTTGTTCTTTTATACACACAAAAATTTTAACTCAGAACTTAGACATTTGCGTTACGTTCATGTAATGGAGGGAATAAAAACTGACCTTCAGCACTGGAGAAAACTGGGTGATGACAGAATTTGCAGCAGCACTAAGAAATTCAAAATCGGGAGGCTCCTGCTGTTTCTCTTGACCTTTTTCCTCTTATCTTGTAATCATGTAGATCATTCAACACCAGCCAGCCAGTCTCCTCACTCCTCCAACCCCAGCAGCTTGCCAAGCTCCCCTCCAACCCATAACCACAATTCTGTTCCCTTCTCCAACTTCGGACCTATTGGGACTCCAGACAACAGAGACAGGAGAGTCACAGACCGCTGGAAAACAGATAAGCCAGGTAAGTGCTGGGTTCGGGGCTTGCGTGAAGCCAGCCGATGGCAGTGGTTTTGCTACATTCCTTTGAACTTGTCTTTCTCCTGTTTTAGCAATGGGAGGGTTTGGTCTGGACTATCTCCCAGCAACATCGTCATCTTCAGAGAGTAGCTGGCACCAGTCCAGCGCTCCCAGTGGCACCTGGGCAGCCCAAGGCCCTCCTGCTATGGAGGACTCCTCAGCTGTGCTTATGGAGAGTCTGAAGGTACGTTTGACTGAAACTGTGCCCAGGAATGGGTGTTTGCCTGTGAGGCCAGGAGACCTGGCAATGGGCTTTAGCCTGTTGCAAGCACCAGAGTTCAGCATCAGAAACCGAAGGTTTTTCCTGCAGATGCACTGATGCAGGCAATGTGGGAGGTGTCACCGGTGCTGGAAGATGTCACAGTTCTCCAGTTCTTGCTGTTCTAGAATATTTTGCAGAACAAGACCAGGCTGGCAGAACATACATTTGCTTTGACTAGTCTAAAATTAGTAATCGTTAATGTGGGGTGAATTTTTATGGTAATGAGGATTCTGGAGGAGGATAAGCTTCTTCCAGGGAGCCTCTCTTTAGAAGGCCTTCTTTGAAGTCTGGGTAACTTTCATGATAACCCAGGTATGAGTGATAAAGAGAAAAGGGAGAATATAGAAAACTCTCTCCATTTTCTCATCTGTAAGAGGATGGCTGTCTAACACATGGAGGTGCTAGTGTTGGCTGTTTGTTTTTAGTCCATCTGGTCCAGTTCCATGATGCACCCTGGACCCTCAGCCCTGGAGCAGCTGTTAATGCAGCAGAAGCAGAAGCAGCAACGCGGACAAGGCACCATGAACCCGCCGCATTGAGGCACAGGTGGCGACCCTTGCAAACGAAGGCTCCATAAACCATGGCATGTTGGGTTTGCAGGACTGGCCCACAGTCCTGTGCGGGTGGCAGCCCTCTCTTCTGTTCCTCGCTGTCAGGAGGGCGTAAGTGCTCCACCAACCCACTGAGTGTGCACAAAACATCTGCAGTGCAAGAAAACAACATCAGGAACTCTCCCATCCCTGGGCCCTCTGGAGGGAGAGGAGAACTGCTGTTTGTCTCACTCAGTGACCCGATATCACCGCCTCTCACCTTCTCCATTGTGCATGTCCCCAGCCACATGGGAAGTAAAAGCTGAGAAGGAAGGGCAGATGGGAGAAGCCAATGAGAACTTCTCGATCCTTTTCCTCTCTTTGGGGAGATAAAATAGGAATCCATTAATGATTGCTTTGCAGACTGAGAATGTAGTTGAAGTTACTCCTAAACATCTTTATTACTATCTCAGTAGTAAGATCACACTGAATTCTTCCGTACACAGACGTGCTTCGTAGTCAGTGTGTAGCAATGAAAGCCCCAGCTGCTGCTCTGGTCAAAGGTGGTTGGTGGCAAGGTGGGGCTCTATCTCCTGGGCTAGCAAAGGGGTTTCATGAAGGAGAGTCTGGCACTTGACACCACTTCACCTTTCACCCGAAGGCTTTGGCCAGCCCGTGGGTGGGTTAGAGACTCCAGCATGAAATGCCCTCCTCTCAGTAGGTGTCTGAGCTCTAATCGGTGACGTGGGGCATTGCAGCACTCTGCTGGACAAGCAAGTTCACTGCTATGGGGTTTTAAATTAATGTTTGATTCCTGTACATTTTACTGTAGCATAGTGGCTAGCCCCGCAAAGGGCAGGCTAGTCTGTGCATTCACAGCCTGACTCATTTTAATAGGTAGGTAGAAAGCTTTCAATGGTTTTTGGTTTTGTTTTTTTCTTTCTCTCTCCATTCTCCCATCTTTGCTGGATGCTAGTAGTTTCATTACCAACATGCAACATCTCGCAGAAAATAATCAGGGGTCCAGCAGGGCTGGGTAAAGCCAACAGCCTGAACAGAGTGGGGTGTTCATACCCCCGCGGGC